ATAAAGCATCAGCTATACTCAATTCATTGTGGGAAAAATCAACCTAAACGAAATAGGGTTAACACATCTCGTATATCTGATCTATTGGTTGCTTCGAGACCCTACTTACACTCGAAAAATAAGTATTCTCCTCGACTGCTTTAGCAAATACAACTTTGCTTCATCGAAAATCCCATCAGAGAATATGATGTAAAAAAATGCTTGACCTTCCTTGAAATTCACATCTTCTCTGTGTTCAAATGGCCTTCGTGGCATTGTCATTGTCCGAGTCCTGCTCGGTGATCTGATTAAACCTGGGCTAGTTCGGAACTGCAATCAGCCCTGGATAGAAACACCTTTTGTGGAAAGCAATGCTATGTGAAATTCAATGAAAAAGTCACTTCTACTCATGTGGAAAAATTCAACTAGGAAATAAGGTAAACACATCTCATATGCTGGATATTTGCCAAGAAGCTCTGCGATAACAGTCGCATGACAGACGTCGTCAGAGCAGAATGGTGATTTGAGAACTTTTTGGCACACTTCAAAAGTCCTCACACGAAAGCAATCCTCCTCCATTTTCCGGTGAGGCCAATTCCCAAATCCTTCGAATCAACTTTTTATTCGAAATAAAAAATCCAGCCGCACTAAGCAAAAGTGTTGCTTAGCCATTCGGGTTTTCGGAATTGCACGTTTAAGAAAGAGAAATGGAAAATAACTGGTCGTCTAAGCAACCGATGAAATGGAAAGTAGGCAAATCGACACTCAAGCATGAGCAAGCATCGTAAAACATTCCTTTGATTTGGGGTTTATTTAATAGCCCATCATACTCAAGCTAAAGTCGCCAATTGTCCTGACTGAAAGTGATATACTTTCGGGTGTCCACTTGATCCACAAACCACGACGACTTTTCATCCTGTACCAGCGGTTGTGGAGAGTACTCGAATGAGAATAAGGGCAGAACTGCGAAACAAAACGGTTGGCAAGGAAAGAAGCATACTTACAACATTTTCCCAACTTTCGGACACTTCTGAATGCCTGGCACTTGCATCCACGCACTCGCCACTCAAGCTTCACTTCGACGCTGATGCAGCTGGCCTTGCTGCAGATCACTTTTCGCTCATCTTTCCGCTGATCCGAGCACTTTACTGTAGGACTTCGTCGAAGTTTCGTTTTTTGCTGGCAGCGGTCCGGCAGGGCCTGAAAATGCACGAGTCGAGTGACATATTGGTTGGTGCTCGGCTCACAGATGGAAGGATAGGTCATAGCCTCGGGACAGCCTAAGGAGTGGTATGACAAAAATAAACTAAATTAAATTAAAACTTAGCCTTTTCAGGCAAAGTATGCTCGGCCATGGTTGTGATTTTGATGCGCCCAAGACATTTACGGTAACAGGCGACCCAAACAGGGCCTGACTATATATGGACATACAGCATTTTTTACTTGGCTAAAGTATACTTTTAAGTCAGCCTGCAGAATTTCCCCATCGTTAGCTTCACTAACAACATTCTCCTTTGGCACTTTCTGTCGGGTTAGATCGAAAACTGCCTCGGAAAGGAAAATAATACCGACAATTCCCATTTTGAAATGTGAGTGTATGCGGGTAGTGTAAAATATTTTTATTAATATTACAAGAATTTAGTAGAGCTTAGGTCTAAAAGAAGTCACTTTGCCTGGCAAACTTGTTAGAGAACAAACGAACTCTGAACAGGCGCCCTGAGCTACATGGTTTAAATGACCCAGTGAACAAACATAAAAGAATGCACAAAAAACACAAGGAAATTATCTACAATCTTCAGGTAAAACTGATGTATCGCTATAAAAACATTTTAAACACGGAAAAAAAAACAGAGATAAAATAGGCTGATCTTTCTTTTTAAGTAAGCAAAATTATAATTTTATAGTGAACAAGTTATATACTCAAACCCATAATAAGAAGGAAAAGCAAACTCAAATATAATGGGACTGTACCACGTCCACGGTATAACTCTGGAAGTTGTCATGCATACAATGGACTCCGGACTAGGTGCGTTCCTCGAAGTCTTCCTACCAATATGACCAAGTTGCCAAAACAAGGTCACACAAGCTATAA